GGGTGGGATAAATGAGATAGTATACATGGTGAGTGATTATGATCAAGCGAGGGGACGAAATAAAGATTAAAGAGGGTTAGCCGAGTAGGAGCAGAAGGCTCCCGCCCAACTTTACCATGGGATGCAAATATAAAGAACAACTGAATGAGTAACAGAAATGAGAAGAAATAATACGCAAATAAGGAAAGAAAATAGGATAAGAAGAGGTAAGACCAGCTATGCAAGGCACAGCTGATCCATGTGGTCTGGAGACCACCAGCCGCTTGGTCTTCCGTGCTGCTTCCTCCCTTTGGGGCGAGGCTTTGCTCTTCTTATAGTTGTAAAGGGGGCAGCGCCATGAGGTACAGGCCAATAGCGTATTAGTATGATGATATAGCGCTTTTCCTACATCCTACCCTGTTAGGAAGTCTCAGTCCCCGGGACTAGAAGTAAGCACTAGAGCCTGTTTGGCAAAGTACCGACGCATATGACTAGCGCTTTTCCTACAACACCAACCTATGTGCCATCCATGCTAAGCGTGTTACAATCATGCCAAATGACATCCAGCTTGTTTGCCGTATCCGTGGAGAGCGTGCATAAGTCCCGAACTTGTGCTGACCAATTCTAACCCAAAGGCCCTCTTTAGGGCCACATAAAATCATATAAACACTTATAAGTTTGTCATGCGTAAACAAAATGTTGTAATATCTATTGCGTAAATAAGGGTTGATGAAAACGCAAAAATTTATAGGTTTATGCGTTCATTTTAAGTTAGGAGTGTTTCTACCATATCCCCTGAATTATGTTCATGCAGAAATGTTTTCAATACACATTTTAATCCTCTCAATAGAGTTTGGGTTTTTGCTTTATTTTTCAACCATTCACTAATTGCTGGCCTTGCCAAATATTCTCGGAAAGAACTAATCCTTGATAACAATACTTAGTGTTCGCGCTAAAATTTTGAAATTGGTGGGATGTAGTCATCCTCGTGATGATGGAGAATTAGTCCCTATCTAATTTTAAAAAATATGTTTTTTACAATAGGTAGATATCCCTTCAAAAAATACCTGTGAGTAGAGCTTAATTTTACTGTGAAATATGACTATAAACCAAACTTTGTTGGAGATGTTGAAGAATTCGTCTTCGTCGCGTCATTTGATAACATTAATCGAACGAATACCACTCAAATATCTAAGTTGACGGCAGAATTCAAATGAACCTACATCCAGAAATGGTACTTGACTGTGTTAATGGATCATATCAGAGCAAATGGAATGTCCACAGCATTTTCTCGGACAGAGTCAGTATGACAAGAAAATGTGCCTAAGCAATCAGAAACATTGTGCAAAAGACTGAGTGGTTATTTTTGCGAATTTCTTGACGAAGTATTACCGTAGAAATCAGAATGAATCCTCATTTGAAGTGATTGTTATTATTATGGCATAAAGGTAATCCTTTTTGTAAATGTCAAAATCTATTTCGGGAGGCCTTTTCTAATTTAAAGGGAAAAGTTCCGCAGTCTTGAGACGTCAGAGCGCTGCGTTTTTTTGAGCAAACATAAACACCATGCGAAAATTGTTTGCTACTTTTTCTCATAACAGCATTGAGTTGGAAGTATTTATTGAAAAGCTAATTGTCCAATCTTTTTTTCCTTAATTATAATTCGTAAGGGTATACTTGAACTCATAGAAATCAATGAAGCATTTCGAAGCGGCACCTTTCATGTTACTTTTGAATAACAAAGGCTACAGTTAGGCACCTTTTAGTTTATTCTCTTTAACTGTAGAAGACAGATAACAAGGGTAGTTTGATTAGTTTGATGTGACCCTTAACCAAGCGTATCGACTCGCGTTCCAGGATTGGGAGAGCATTTCCCAAAAATGTACCCATAGCATTAGTA